AAAAGCTGTGTAAAAGCAAACTTACCTGGAAATTTCTAGCCAGTCACAGAAAAAAAAAAAAAAACAGCTGGACCATTGACATCCGAGGCATATGATGTACGCAAATTTCATCTCCATGCAATTTCACAGAACACAATAGCCTGGCCTGGAGGCTCCACCACCACGAAGTGAACCAAGATGACAGTTTCCTACCTGCATAACATACGAAGTTGACATCAAATCCCCAACTTTGCTACAATAATTGGTTAGTTCGTGGAATGAAAGCTCTGAAATACTCTGTTCAGCTCTGAAAGCTCTGAACCACAGTATTACCTCTTTCTTTGACATACTAAGACTCCAAAGCGAAAGCAACTGAAAAGACATTTTAGGCATAAGTAGAACTATGCACATAGCATATTAGGAAAACAATAAACACCAACCTTCAATACTTACCAGTACACAGGAATTACTGGATTTAAACTCCTATTATTAACTGATACATTTTAATAATATGTATTACATAATCTATTACAAAAAGAAACCTTTATTTTTAAATACTTTATTTTAAGAATTGATTGGATAAGTCCTTCTCCTTACTGTTTAGCTCTCAAGATAGTTGTGCAGACGAAATTTATGCCTATTTAATTGTTAAGAATGCCTGTGACTTCATGCCATGCAAGTTCCCACACAAAAATCCATCTTTTCGTATTGCATTAATCATGATTTTCCTGGCAGCTGAGGAAAGCTGTGATTCCTTTCTACTAAGCCCAGAACCCATTGCATCATTCCCTCTGAACAGTTCCTAATCCTGAATTATGAAAGTAGTTATGCATACAAAGATTCTTCAGAAGTTCTTGAATTTTTACTACTTACAAGGATAGCTATTGAAACTCCTTCCCCTCCCGTTCATCTCGCCCCCATAATTTCTTATTTTTATGGCATACAGTTGAAACAGAAAACTAATTTCTGTATCCTATACAGAATACACTGTACCCTTAAAACTTGCAATAAAAATATTAGGAAAAAGATTAGATAAAGAAGAGAATATTAAATCAAATTGGAAAAATTCTTGTCTATGATGAGCGCATTTTAAGGACAGACATGATTCATGGAGGGAGTACGAGGAACAGCACATCCCACATCTTAATAATTATAAAAGAAAAAAATACAATCATTAGGAAAATTTAAATTAACACAATATTCATCCCAAAAGTCTGAACTAAGGACATGCTGACTGCCAGCGCAAGTTCAGAGGTACAGCCTGCATTACTAAGCTTTTTGTGCAAGACAATTAAATGAAGCAATTAAATTTAATTAAGTAGGCAGTTACTTTAGAACAGAAACAAAAGCCTGGAGAAAATACAGCTGCCTCTGTTCCAGAAATTAAGAAAAAGGGAGACCAACACTGTATTTGAAATATTCCGTGACAACCAGTTTGTATATCAGGAACTTTAATTTAAAAGAAGTTTTGTACTTGTCATGAGACTTGAACTTAGCCATGAAAATAATGCAACTCAATTTTTAAAAAAGTAAAAAAAGTAAAATAAAATAAAAAAAAAGAAGTAATATTCAACCGACATCCTCCATAGAAAATGGCAAGCAAGTATCAAAGGGAGGTAGCCCATGATTACTCCTCAACAGAATATGAAAAAAAGAAACCTGTAAATGAAAATTGTCCTGAGATACTTTCTGCTCTCAACACATTTTATGTTTTTGTTTCAAAGCATAAGGAAAAATGACTTTCAAGACACCAAAAAGAAAAGGTTTCAGTAACTCCTTATAGACTGCTTAGTCCTTGCTGAATATCATAAACGGAGTTTGATAAAATGAGTAAGGTCAAGTATCTCACACAACCAAAGTGCTGGTACCGAGCAAATGCTTCAGTGCTGGCACATACTTCACAGCAGTTGGTATCAACACTTCTAACCACATTCACATCCCTAAAAGTCTGAACAGGTTTAGAATGAGCTATGGCTTATTCTCACAGCTACAGAATGGCTAGTAGAGATTAAAAAAAAAGAAAAAAAAACATTTTTAAGGTACTTAATCATAGAAGCCCCATCTCTGATGCACACTTTGGACAGCATCTCAATCTGGGGCTCCTAAGGACTGAGGGAGTACTTTTTTCTCTTATGCTTCCATGAATGAGAGCATTCAAATACTACTTGTGTTGTCTTGTAGCACTTGCAAAGAACTCAAGGAGGGATTTTGGAGGTAGAGGTTATTCTGAGAAGTAATTGCTAATGTAAGGCCTGTTTAGCACCATTTCTTGCTTTAGAAGGGTCCTTAGCATTTATTTCCTTCTAATTAGAGAAGCCATCATAGACTGCAATTCTACCAGTAAAATAAACATTTCCATTTTATTTTTAAAGAAATATTTTATGAAATGTTATATAATTATGTACACAAAGCTATAAAATATAAGACTTTAATTCTAAAAATATGCATATCAACATACATACACATTTCCTTATAAGAGTTATACTCTCTGCCCCCTCCTTACAATAAAAGGTTTCCGTTCCATTTCTTCCATTTTGTTCCATCTGATTTTGTTCTCACATGATCAACTTTTTAATCTCTAATAAAAACAGTTTTTAGTTCATCCAGAGATACTGAACACATTGATGCATTCTTACTTATTATTGCCTATGTAACAAATCTTTCACTACTTACAAAACTATCTTTTTGAACTTGCATCTTCTGAAGTAGAAGACTTCTTGTAATTGATAGTCAACTAGCTATAACTAACTATTCCTACTGACTCTTAAAATATTTTGGTATACATGTATCTGAAATATAAAGAGTAGTATCTTGTGTGAAGAAGATCACTTTACAATAGTAGCAGATAGAAAAGTAGATAAAAAAAAAAACAGCTCTGCAGCACTTGTTTCTGGACAGCTCATGGCACTTTTTTTATTATTTTTTTTTAAATCACAAACAACCCATTTTGCTAACTTCACCTCCCCTTTACTCTCCTTACCAATATTGTTTAGAGACGTAACAGAAAAACTCTGAAATGAATATTTTCTTTAAACACTGCAAAATTTAAAAGCTTTCTCATCAAACAAAATTCTCCTTCTAGATTTTGAACTAGTCATCCAGCTGAACTTTTTTTTTTTTTTTTAATGGAATAGGAAGTTTGGAATTTGTGTAGATTTATCCTCAGCTTGCTAAGATGCTGACAACCTGATACATTCCACTTTGGACCTAGTGCTTAGAAAACTGCACATGCCCCAGAATCAGGTAAGCGGAAGCATCATTACTACTACTTTTAATCACTGATAGTTGGTACATTATGACTATAAAAATGCTTAGAGCAATAATTTATAGCTCAGCTTTTGACGAGAAAACCTAATTAAAAAGTTAACATTACATCATTTTCCAGCAACTAAAACAAGTATTCAAGCATCATTTTTAAACTGTAAGTGTCAAATGAAATAAAAACTTCAGAATCCTAAGTTTCACATTTCTAGAAAAGGTTAGTGCACACAGAGCACTAGTGTATTACATGATGACACCAGGTCACCATAGTAACAGCACCACGAAATGGGAACCAGAAAGGAGTTAAAAGGCACACAGGCACAGTAGCAAAAAGAAGCTTCCCCTCTTTAGATGGGTTTATGTTGCTGCAATCAACCACAAACAATCCCTCTTATTCAGGCAATTTCAGAGGACTTTTCCCACTAGCATAGTTTTGGTCTCCATCCTGGGAAGCCTCTCCATCCCGGGAAGCCTCTCCATCCCAGTATGTCTTGAACCATACTCAGCTTTCCCAGGCCCAGCTTAGCTAGCAAGGCCAGTTTTGAATTTTGTCCCAAATTGAACTGAAAACTGAAGCAGGTCTTGTTCATTAATCCTCCATCTATGAGCTACTTATAATTGCTTTCAAGAGATACAAAGGAAGAGGAATGAAAGAAAGAATTGCAGAGACCTTGGAAATAAGTCGCTGAGAATCATCTTTGAAGAGCTAAAGAAGCTGTGGCAGAGGAGAGAGAATTTTCACAGAACATCACTACACAGAAGAGCCCATTCTGCTTATCTGCAGTTCAATAAACTTTCACACTACACCCCAGAAAGAAACTAGTTTGTCTTCTAGCTTTTTGCTAAAGCATGTATCTTTGTTACCAAAAACACAGATAACAGCAGCTTTCTATTTATGAGACAAGCTGAAACTTCCACTAGGCAGGGGAAGACTCTGAATGGGTTGTATGAAGATTTCCCTGGAAGAAACCTTAGAACACTCAAGGCAGTGAAAAGGCAGTGCTGTAAACGTCTGCAAGATAAAAATAATTTGATAGTTTCAGAACATTTCCTTAGGGTGATAAAGGCACTTGGTGAAGGCACTTGGTAGAGTCCGTTGATTTCAGCCAGTTCTGTTCTCAAACCAGGCACACTCTCTGCTGAGAAACAGCCCTCACAATAGTTACTAGCCCTACTGCACTGCAGTTTTAGTGCCTGGGAACATAATCTTTAGTGTGCTTTCATGGAGGGCAAAGGCATTCAGCAATGCACAAAAAACATTATATTATGCTATCCAGAGCAGACAAACAATCCCAGCACACAGGCAGGAACTCTCTCTCTCTTCCGCTTTCATGCTACAGTTACTAATATGCTACAAAAAATATAAATAAGAAATTCAATGAAACTTGAAGTCATCAGAAATGATCTCATGGGTGTAGATCCAGGGAACAAATCTGAAAAGTGCCAGCAGTAAAGCAAATCTTACATTCAGGGGCAGGTAGAACAAAAGTGTAAGGATTTCTATAAAATGGAGCTCAAGCACTCTTAAAGTTAAGTTCTCTTAAAACATCTACAATCAAAGCAACAAACTACAAAGCATTACCTGAAAGGTTCCCCCTGCCCTTGTTAGTCTGTTGACAAGTTAACCTAGCCATCTTGAGGCTCATAAATTAACGGCAGAATAGGCAACAGAATCAACAGTGTTGACTGTTGTTCAGAATAGAAGGCACTTCTTTTTTCATTCATATCAGTGTGGCAAAGAAAACATCTTTATATTGATTTCACTGTTTTTCAATGTTCATTTGCAAGAGTTTCTGTTCAACTTTGTCTGCTACCAGATTCAAACAACAGTCCCGAAGACCTTTTATTAAGTCAGCCACCTTTGCATTTTTTCCTTTCCACTTCTGCCATTCTCTAAGTGATTTAAACACTTGTTCACTCAACCTATTCGAATAGGCTGCCTCAATGTTCTCAATTCTCACTTCAGGCAAGCCAAGACGTCGCATCAGTCTTTTCCAGTCTCTGCCAACATTTTCATATATGATATCAAAAGCTGCTTTCTGCAGACCTGAAAAAAAAGCAAAACAAACTTATAAACATGAAGGGAATAATGGATTTGTAGACATAAGACTAATAGCAGATTCAGCATTTTACTAAGGGCCTGCGCATATACCAAAGATCACATCATGCCCGAAGAGCAACTATTAAGAACAGCGTATCAGCATGTACACCTTGGCACTCCCAAGTGACTACCAGGTGTAAAAGGGAAGCAATTCCCACCCTGGAAAGCCCCAGCAACTCGACATATACTTCCAGGGTTGGACATGATCCTTGGCTGGGACAAGCCTGGGCACACTGCTAGCAGGGTCCCCAGAGCAGTCCCTCAGCAGGTTGTGGGGCAGGCATACATTTGTTACAGTTATTTTCCACCTACGCTTTTCATTCAGGTCCGGCTGATTGGGAGCGTTGGCTTCGCCTTCCTCTACAAACTGCTGCAGCTGCTCCACCAGGTCCAGCCGCTTGACGGCCCGCAGCAGGGTCTCCAGGAGGTCGACGCTGTCCTCGGCGATGGCGCGCTGCTCGAGCAGCAAGCCGAAGAGGTCCATGCCGCTGCGCACCCCCTCCAGCTTCCGCTTGGGGATCTTGTCCCGGCACAGGAACTTGAGAGAACCGAGCTCGCTCTCCGTCAGGCCCGAGGAGAACGAGTGCAGCAGGCTCAAAAACGGATCCATAGCGCCGGGGACAAGAACGCCCTCCTCCCGCTCCAACGAGCCGCCTCCCCGGGCAGCCCAGACCACTGCGAGCAAGTTCAGACCAAACCGCTCCGATAGCAAC